GACAGACAAACAAGACTCATCAATGAAGATAAACATGCTGACCGCTATAGACCCCCACACGTTTAAGAGTAATTATATTTTACTGACAAGAAGAAATGTCCTTGATTTGAGCTTACACACACACACACACACACACACACACACACACTCTTTCACATGCACACAAACACACAGATACACACACCCACATAAACTCAAACACACACACACACACACACACACACACACACAATATATAATTTTCTTGCACGATGAGAGGAACTGTACCTCTACTATACGATAATACGTAAATAGGGCCGCTTTTATTACCCCATCTTGGTCAACAATGGCCTGGACGCAGGCCAACCTAACCCTTCCCAACCTAACCTAACCTAACTCAATCTAACCTAATCTAACTTAACCAAACTCATAAGAACATAAAAATGGTGGAAACTGCAGCGGGCCTATTGGCCCATACTGGGCAGTCCCGTTTACACCCATATAAGCATATAAGCATCCAACCTATGTTTGAAGCTATCTAGCGTATTCGAGTTAATGGTGATATTTGGTAACTTGTTCCATTCATCCACTACTCTGTTTCGAAACCAGTGTTTACCTCAGTGTTTACCACAGCTCTTCCTCAACTGTGTATGTGTGAGAGAGAGAGAGAGAGAGAGAGAGAGAGAGAGAGAGAGGTAGTATGCGGTATATTCATTTCCTCTACTACGGCGAGTATAAACGTCAACAGCAAATCATAAGCGTCTGCCGTAAACACAGGAATACTTTTTGTGTCTTGCGTTCTTAGGTTATTGCGTAACCAGAAAATGTGTTAATGTGTGTGTGTGTGTGTGTGTGTGTGTGTGTGTGTGTGTGTGTAACTAACCGACTCACATTATCAAAAAACACGTGTCCTTAATTCATTAAAGTTTACACCAAATTGAACTAAAAATTATTAAATGCGTCACGTAGCTCCTTATAGAACTCTCAAGTATAATAATAATAAGTCGTTTGTTGTTTACTTTTATATATATATCATCGTGAGATTTATAAAAGGTATAATAATTTTGTTAGTGTATTTTGTCAACTTTTCATCTTGCCCGCTGCCATTCTTGTCCCTGTACAGATCTCAAGAGAATCGTGAGAAATTCCACTGTTTGTTACGATGATAAACTATATCTTACAGTAGTCGTCTGTCAACAATAACACCTGACTAAAATAACAGATTAAAGTGAATTTTTTTGTGTGTTTTATGTTTAGAAATTTTACCACATTAGTTTACAACCTCCTATTTTAGACCTTCCTTGATTATACGACAGAAAAATACAGTATGATAGATCCAAATTCTCCATTCCAGCGGACACCTACAGCCAGCCACCCCTATAGACTGGTGTATTGGCATAACTCATTTAATCAGACAGGATGTGTTGGTTATCGAACTCATCAGAGATATTGTTGGTTTAAATTCACTCTCCAATTTATCGTTTTACACAACCGGAACGCGGCGGACATGCAGGAAATGCCACCAATATTTCCGGATCTCCTCCAGCTTGGCGACGGGGAAGGCGAGGAACGGAATTTCAAGGCAAATTTTACCATCCATTGACTAGCGACTCTCAAGAACTGACTCGGTATGATGATTTAACTCTCCTCGCACGCTGACTTAATTCTTAAAACTCTTCACGGAAAGTTTGGTGAGTATCCAGTGGTATTTTTGGCGCGGTGTAGTGTTGACGTCTCCCAAGTACTAAACAGAGAGAGGAAGGTAAACACTGGCAGGTCCTCCACCCGGGAAGATGGTCGACAAAAACCAAATATAATAAAACAACCGAGTGGTATTTGTCCTGGTAGTTTGGGTTTAGACTTTACTTAAAATGTCGTTTGGAATTCTTACTGAGCAGACAAAGATGCTGTCGACTTAAGTTATTCTGTATATATATATATCCCGCTGAGATATCTAAATATATTCGACCCAAGGAGCTAGGACTCAGCAGATAATCTTGCTATAAGTCGAGAGTTCTTCTGAGGTCTGTACTTCCATTGTAATATTCTCAATCAGCAGACACCGGGGGTTGTGGCATACGCTAAACTAAACAGTCACTCGTTCGCATTCTGTTCAATTATTTCTAACCGTGTCAGTGCCAATATCCCCCCTGTCAGTGCCAACACCACCCTCTCAGTGCCAACACCCCCCTGTCAGTGCCAACACCTCCCTGTCTGTGCCAACACCTCCCTCTCAGTGCCAACACCTCCCTCTCAGTGCCAACACCTCCATGTCAGTGCCAACACCACCCTCTCAGTGCCAACACCTCCCTGTCAGTGCCAACACCTCCCTGTCAGTGCCAACACCACCCTTTCAGTGCCAACACCTCCCTGTCTGTGCCAACACCTCCCTGTCTGTGCCAACACCACCCTGTCAGTGCCAACATCCCCAAGTCCTGTACATACACGTCTAAACAATGCGCTTCGCCGACAAAATCATCCACACGCGACAATTAACAAAGATAAGAGGTTCTGAGTGTATTGGTGTAAAGAGTTATGACCCCGGAGTGACTCGAACACCCAGCCTTCTGATCTGGAGTCAGACGCGCTACCATTGCGCCACGAGGCCATAAGCTTATTAACAGTGTGGTCAGATATATTTTGAGAGCAGCAGCAGGTGTCGTGTCGCCTGGGAACTGTCAGGTGCGGCCACCCCCCCCCTCAACACATACACAACTACGTAAAATAACTAACTACGCCACACAGGGGCCTTCGTAAACTGTATCAGGGACTAGGGGTCAAAGGTCACAGTTAGGCCTGATGATTGGTTGGCGGGAGGCGAAGGTCAACATTATATACTGCAGATTATATATTTGTTAACCCCGCCCCTAGAGTGGTGGTGGTAATCAATTTGCTCCTCTGTGTTTATTTTTGTCTGTACGTGTCTGTGCAATATGACGAATAACATTAGAAAATAATTTGATTTTGAAGACATAGGTCACAGGTCATGGTGGAGAGTCATTGACCGTATTCACCTGTGTGTGTGTGTGTGTGTTAAAACTCATCAATGAACAACTTACCCCCACCCATCCGAGCAAAGACTACGCTCCCTTCCTTTAAATCATTTCTTAAAAGATATCTATTGTCTAAGTATTAATATTTTTTTTATAATACCTACTTTACATACCCGCTTTATCAGAAATTGTCATGGAAATAGACAGAAACTACCATTGCAATAAATATATTTGCCAACTAGACATAATCCTGACAGCTTTGTCCTCTTGTTCCACTCATGTTGTACTGCTTCCCTCATCATATTTATGTTTTTCAATTCTACTGTAAATTATGTATATACCTGTACTTTTAATATAAATGTAAAAAATAAATAAATAAATAAATAAATCTCGAAGTGATAACCGTGGTAACATTCTGATATGTTCTCACTACCATCATGTTACGTGTACTCTTCCAGATGATACTACACAGAATTTCCTTGAGATAAATGTACAGTATATATCAGGTGCCTTCAAGACAGCTCAGGCTCTCAACTGGCCATGTTAATATTGTTGTTTTAATCGACTCTGTATCTGTGTTCTTTTGGCTAAATAAAATGTTTCAATATCAATAATGAAGGTGACATCCTTAATAATTCATATCATTGTCTCATAGCTGGATGATCGTCATACTCGATTCTGAGTGACAGCAAATTAGTAGTAGTTGTGTGTGTGTGTGTGTGTGTGTGAAGCATAGAAAGTAAAAAAGGTGACTTGACCTATAAAAAAAATTCTAACAGGTGTGTTGAGTAAGTTGACACCGTTGGAGGCCAACGTTCGAGGTCAAATAGAGTATCCAGGACTAATGGCACTTAAAAGTGATTTGACTGACTTGGATGACACTCAACAGGGATGGGACAGGAGGTATGGAGGAGTAAGGCAGTGTAAGGAGCAGAGGGATGCCCTGGGAAGTGGTCAATAGTTAGGTCATGGACGCGGGTCAACACTGGAGGTCAAGGAAAACTGATACTTGACCCCGGAGTGACTCGAACACCCAGCCTTCTGATCTGGAGTCAGACGCGATACCATTGTGCCACAGGGCCCATGAACAGGTCATGTGGTGCAGTATTGATGGGTGTGTGTGTGTGTGTGTGTGTGTGTGCACCCACAAGGTATAGGGTGACAGCTGTCAGGTAAGGGATAGAGATACAGTCATACAATACCCCTGCCCCACCCGCCACACACACACGAAGCACCACCACCATACACACACGCACGACCTGCTCCTCCTCCCATTTCTTCAACAGGCTCTCACCTATACAGGTTCTTGTTCAATTGTTACCGAAATTGTCCTGTAACTTCAGTACTTCCTGTCTATTTTTAGAGAGAGAGAGAGAGAGAGAGTGCGTGTGTAAATGTGGGTCACTAAAGAAGACGCCTCCTTATTGCTCTAAAAAAAGCAATTTGGATATTAATAAAAAATAATAGTAATATCAATAACAGTACTACTACTACTAATAATAATAATAATAATAAGAGCACCTTAGCCAATATGACCATGATGGGTGTTGTTGACAAAAAACATATAATTAAAAATCATCTCTGGCTTGCTGAGTGACTCCGCGAGAGCGTCACTGAGGCTGTGTCAGACCACCTGGCGGGGTAGTGATAATAAGGGTGCTTAGGAAACATTTATTCACTCACATATACAACAAGAAACATTTAGTCACTCATATATAACCTCAAATATATACTATGAGCCGTAGACACCAGCGCCATGTACAAAAAGAACAAGTTACGTAGTTTACATCTTTACAGCAACGTACACTGTGGGGAATGTGTGGCAGATGTACTGTACAGTCGTGAAGGATCCTGCCTCACCAAGTTCTGTGTGAGAGGTCATGTGTGTGTGTGTGTTTCTCTCTGTACACCCTTATAAAGGATGAGTCTTACTGTATGTGTCACATTAAAGTGTATGACTAACACACACACACACACACAATGGTCGGGTTGAGCCGCTGGGCATATGGTGTCAGTCACCTCGACTTAATGACCAGTGCGGGAGTATGGGAGGGGTGGGGCCACGGGCAGGACGGCTCCCTGGGGCTGGTAGCCGCCATGGTCGGCCACGAAGGTGATCTCCACGGGGTCACCGTAGGGGGACGAGTACCTGGAGGGGGGAAGACCATCATGTTGGTCAGGGGAATAATTCTTAATCAAATGTTACTAAGTTGCGTAACATTTTCACGATTATTTTTGTCAACTATGTCACCAAACACTGATACCATCAGGGACAACCAAGCCTGAGGCAAAGGTACTATTCTATAATACTGTACATTGTACTGTACTATAATGTACTGGACTATAGTGTACTGTACTCACCTCCAGCCGCCCTGAGACACCTGGCCGTCGTTCTGGCTGCCAGACTCCTCCCTGGTGGTACCGTCGCCGGACTCGTACTGGAAGGAGTACTCGCCGTAGGCGTTCTGATTCCTGTTGTCCTTCACGATGGGGATGACAGGCCTGGGGCCGTAGACAGAACTGGCCGCCGCCCCGGCCACCATAACGGCCAGGACCACCACCACCTGCCGGGGGACATGACACAGGATGACACTTGTGTTGACAAATTATCTAAAGGTGGATCCACAACAACGCATCCTTGTCGGTAACACGTGTTGGCAACTGTGTTATCAATACTTGTGAAAATTACATAAAAAAGTTTGCAACATTATGTTGGGAACATTGTCGCCAACAGAAATACGTCAAGTAAACTGACTGGTGTGGATTATGTGATAATTTCACCGTTCTTTCCATCAATGTTGCCATCTTTTATCCGACATACTGACGACAATATTACCAACATTGTTGTGTTTCTGTGGATCCACCTTAGCGTGTTAAAATGTTCTACCGACTGCTACCTTGTACACTCCTAGTCTGTCTTCTACCACCCGAGGCTTCAACTTTGGTGGCAGGACTCTTAAGTTAGGCCTGACGCCACGGGGAAGCATCGTGTGTTAAAACAAAACTGACATCCACCTCACCTTCACCTGACTCAGCCTTCAGACCGTCAAGTAAACAGCAGAGAACTGTCCAAGAGAAAGTGAAAACTGACTGATAACTGGCCAGCTTAAGGTCTGTTAACTGCAGGTGTTCCAGTCTCTACCAAACCACTAAAGAGCCGCTCAAGAGTGTGTGGGTTTCGGAGTGTGTGGGGGGGATAAAGGGGAGACCAAAATAGTGTTACTTTTGTGTTAATATGAGAGTTAAAGAAAGGGGGATTCTGTTAGTTATCTGGTGCCTGAGGACTGGTAGTATCGAGTGATGTTTATATTCTAATGTAACACAACGCCCCAACAACTAAAAATACAAGAAATATTCCACTGGTCTGAAAATTAACAGTATTATCAACTTAATGTAACTTTAAGCAAGAAATTGTTCATAGGCATCAGAGGCAGGACGCGGGGCCACTCACGGTGTAGCAGGTAAGGCTGGACATGGTTGCAGTGTGTGCTTAAGGAGGGGCTGCCGTGAGCTACTGACCGTGGAGGCGGGAGATGGCTCTTATATACCTACGACACAGAGGGAGGCCGGCCAGAGATTGCACTTTGTTTATTTTTAGGAACTGAGGTCGATGGATAGGAGGGGAATGAGGAGGAAGAAGAGAAGGAGAAAAAGGAAGAGGAGGAGAAGGAGGAAGGGGAGGAAGAAAAGAAGGGGAAAGAGGAGAGTAAACGAAGGATAAACAGTCACTTAAGTTAGAAGAAAAATTGAAAAGAAGAATGAAATTAAGGCCCTTTGGTACGAGAGAGAGAGAGAGAGAGAGAGAGAGAGAGAGAGAGAGAGAGAGAGGATTAACCTATTCCAAAAAACTTCACTTCGGCTTCTCGGTCACACACACACACACCACACACACACACACACACCCACAAACGATGACAAAAATAGCGTTCAGGCCCACATAATCACTTTGACCTATTGTAATTACCAGACCCCAAACTAGACCGCTAGACCTTCCACCTCACCACCAAAACCAAACACCCTAACTCAACCCAACCCAACCTAACCTAACCTAACCTAACCTAACACAGTGCAGGTATACAAACAATGGTAAACAGTATAAATTAATTTTGACAAATCAAAATCTCATAAAGCCATAACAGTCAATCTTGTCTCCAGGTTATGCACTTACACTTAGCACCGACGCACTTACACTTAGCACCAACGCACTTACACTTAGCACCAACAAATACCCCTCTGCCCTATGACTAAGAATGTTCATTTTTAATAATAACAATGATCTCGGCAGCTGATAATTATCGTAGCGCCGGTGACATTCCAGATATCTAGAAGTGTAAGTAATAAGAGTGCAGAGGTCTTATTGCAACTATATCTTGCACTAGTCAGGCCGCACCTCGATTATGCGGTTCAGTTCTGGTGCCCCTATTATAGAATGGATATAAATTCACTAGAGTCGGTGCAGCGAAGAATGACGAAAATGATTCCGGGACTTAGAAACCTTCCATGTCAGGATAGGTTAAAGAAACTAAACTTGCATTCTAGAAAGACGAAGAGTGCGGGGAGATATGATAGAAGTATTTAAGCGGGTGAAAGGAATCAATAAAGGGGATATAGATAAAGTTCATATAATATCCGAGCAGGATAGGACTCGGAGCAATGGATTTAAGTTGGATAAGTTTAGGTTTAGGAGGGAGATAGGAAGGAACTGGTTCACAAATAGGGTGGTGGACGAGTGGAACAAGCTTAGCAACTTTGTAGTAAGTGCTGGAACGCTGAAAAGTTTCAAAAGGAGGCTAGATAGATTCATGGATAATAGAGAGTGGTAGTAACTCTCGACAGGAGCTGCCATGCACAGGCCAACCGGCCTATTGCAGACTCCTTATTTTCTTATGTTCTTATATGACCAAAATACTGTAGAGTTATCAGTAGGGGTAGATTTTTGCTTCTTGCCCTGTGAACAACCTTGGAACCCATGTGTGTGTGTGTGTGTGTTTGGGGCGTCACACCAATCATTTTCTCACGTCACACCTACCAGTTCCACGCGTCACACCTACCAATTCCCACTCGTCACACCTGCCAGTTCCCACACGTCACCTACCAGTTCCCACTCGTCACACCTGCCAGTTCCCACACGTCACACCTACCAGTTCCCACACCTCACACACTGGAAAGGTCATATTTGGTATCAATAACGCATAACCTTATCGGCCCCGTGGCGCAATGGTAGCGCGTCTGACTCCAGATCAGAAGGCTGGGTGTTCGAGTCACTCCGGGGTCAAGTATATAAACTATAGGCAATAAGATTTTGTTTCCTACTCGACCATCACGAATCATCCTGTTGATCCAGTCGAAAATAAATCCCATTTTATGTGTTGTAGAAGGAAATGGAGTAAATTTCTAGCTTTAAAGAAGAGTTATTTTTTTTATATGCAGATTTTTTCTCATGATGTAATAGCGAGTAAATTTTAGGCGCATCCTGTCTCTCGTAATAGCAACAAGGAGGTGTTGTTTCGAGAAGTACTAAAGTCAGGTTACGTTTCGTCTCAGCTTGACAAGTGACATCTATAATAATAAAAATAATAATAATAATAATAAAAGGATGTGTCTGTATGTCTGTTTGTCTGTCTGTTCCAGCCATAGCTCTAAAACAGAAGCAATTACATTCGAGACGTGAATCATTACACACACACACACACACACACACACAAGGACTCGTTACCTGTCCTTCCTACCAAGGTGATACCAGAACCATGTTAGTCGTGAAATACATATCCTACTAACCTATGTATGTATGTATGGTTCAAATCATACGAGTATACATAACAAAAAAATCATAAAACACAGGTAAGCAAAACAATAAAAAAGAAAAAGAAAATAAGTTTGAAGAAAAGGATTGATGTGTGTGTGTGTGTGTGTGTGTGTGTGTGTGCGTGTGTGTGTGGAATGTAGTTATTGTCAGCGATTATTGATATATATATATCTCTCTCTCCTCTCTTTGATTCTCTCTCTTTCTCTTTCTGTATTTTCCTGTATTATTTTCTAGTATTCTTCTGGTTCTCTTCTTCTACTGCCTTTCTTTAGTCTCCTTATTATTCTGTCTCTCCCTCTGTGTCTTTCTCTCGTGTTCCTCCCCTGTCTTCTCTCCCTCTCTCTCCTTGTATCTTTCTCTTGTGTTCTTGTAGTACTCTTCCTCCTCTTTCTCTCTTGTTACTCCCCTCTCTCTCTCTTATCGTCTTCTTTCTTCTACTCTTTAGAAATAGCAGATAAGATATTTGTCTTACCAACATATCAAGTCACTCAAGTATCTATTGGTCTATTAAGGAGTCATCACTCTTACTCGAAGCACCTGAAGATTAACCACCCTAACACTACCTGGGGGAATTAGGTTAGATTAGGTTAGGTTAGGTTAGAATTAGGGTGTTTTAACAAAAGCGAAATAAGTTGTGGGGTATCCGGGTGATCCCTCTCACTTAGCAGCGTGTATAGGATGGCTAGACAGTATAAGAGAGAGAGAGAGAGAGAGAGAGAGAGAGAGAGAGAGATGTACCACACGTCGTCGACTTAATAATACAAAGGTGGAGGAGAGTAACTGAACGTCATTATAATTCTGTTGTTTTATTCCACAAGTCAAAGCACAATATTTGCGACCAGCACAAGGAAAGACTAAATCAGAATACAGCTGTTTTACATAGTTACCTATAACAAGAGCCTGGTGTTTACAAAGAGTGTCAATAAAACAATACCAATTGTAAGCACGTACACACACAGACACACACATGCAACATTTACATTGGCGCGGCGCACACACACACACACATTGCACAAAGGTAAACATACACACAAAAAACAACAAAGGCATCTACATAAAACTGGCCTCTTACAGTACTTGCTTAATGGGTGTTGTGAGGTGAGTGTAGTGTAGTGTAGTGGTGAGGGTGTGAGGTGTAGCTGGGATGTGTTGTGAGGTGAGTGTAGTGTAGTGTAGTGGTGAGGGTGTGAGGTGTAGCTGGGATGTGGATCATGAGAGCAAACAATGCAATGTATACTGAGGTGTTTTTTTTCCCTGTGTGCGAGGTACTGTGTTAAGAAGAGACGGAAGCTGCCAGTATGAGGGTGAGGAGGGCGCGGGCGGTGGGCGGGTGTTGTCCAAACGAGAGTTAGGGGCGTCAGCTAGAGGTTGTGGGGCGATCAATCTCAGTCACCTCGACTTAATGACCAGTGCGGGAGTATGGGAGGGGCGGGGCCACGGGCAGGACGGCTCCCTGGGGCTGGTAGCCGCCATGGTCGGCCACGAAGGTGATCTCCACGGGGTCACCGTAGGGGGACGAGTACCTGAGGTGGGGAGGGGGGTTGGGTAAGAGCGTCACGGTGATCAAGAACAACCTGCAGGTGTGGGTAGTGTCTCAGGACCTGGTGATCACTCTTGGTACATTTTTATGAAATATCGGGATTCAAACTTGATGAAATAAATCATGAAATTTTCAGATTTAGTGAACACCAGGTACTATTATATACTTTAAAATAATGTTATGTACTGCACTGTACTGTATTGTTGTGTAATGTTCTGCACTATAATGCACTGAAATATAATGTACTGTACTATCAAGTATTGCACTATAATGTACTGCACTATAATGTACTGCACTATAATGTACTGGACTATAGTGTACTGTACTCACCTCCAGCCGCCCTGAGACACCTGGCCGTCGTTCTGTCTACCAGACTCCTCCCTGGTGGTACCGTCGCCGGACTCGTACTGGAAGGAGTACTCGCCGTAGGCGTTCTGATTCCTGTTGTCCTTCACGATGGGGATGACAGGCCTGGGGCCGTAGACAGAACTGGCCGCCGCCCCGGCCACCATAACGGCCAGGACCACCACCACCTGTTATAAGCCAAGGTCATTATTACTGATGGTGTGTCGACAACATGAGACTGTTGTTGTTGTTGTGGTCATTTGGTATAAAGTTAACCTGGTCGTCACCACCTGGCAGTAGGCTGACCCACCACCTACATGATCGTGTGGCTTAATCACGTCTACTGACCTACTTAATGCTCGCACAAGACTACCTACCCTACTATACATATAAGCTAATAACTACTACATAATATCATATCAAATAATATTTCAGCCTTAAAACACAAGAATTGCTCAATAATTTCTAGTTTAATTACAGTCCAAATGTTTGTACTTCAATATTTAAACAAAACAAAGAAAGATGAGTAGGTAATGAATTTGAACATAAGAACATAAGAAAGTGGGATACTGCAGGAGGCCGACTGGCCCAAACTAGTGAATTCAGGTCTATGGTGATAATAAAGCAGGCACTAGAGGTACGACCCAGAGCCACTCACGGTGCAGGAGGTAAAGCTAGTCATTATGGAGATGTGTGCTGGTGGAGACGCAGCTGAGTTGTGATGATGGAGGCGGGAGGTCCTCTCTTATATAGCCAGCCGACTCCCACAACACCCAGGTGGTGCATCACTTAGATAAACACAAAGAGTTTCCCTAATTTCCCTGGGTTGTCCACGGCTAATGACTAATTCAGTGACGACCGCAAGTTAAGAAGGTGCGCTGACGTGGCTGCGACTGACGGTGCTGATGGCGTTCTGTTTAATAACACCTAGAGTTAAATCATCGTCTTCCAAGGGTTAGGTTATTATCCTCAAAGGGTTAAGACGATAGAAATACACAGGGAAGGCAATTAATATATCCCCTTCTCTCTCTCTCTCTCTCTCTCTCTCTCTCTCTCTCTCTCTCTCTCTCTCTCTTTACAGGTGTTGAACGAAGACCTGACTTATGGGCATGTATGCAAAATCTCTCTCTCTCTCTCTCTCTCTCTCTCTCTCTCTCTCTCTCTCTCTCTCTCTCTCTCTTTCACCATATAAATGCACGATGCCATCTGTCATTCAGTTCGTCAGGCTCTCACTTTCTCTCTTCTATCACAATAACAACAACAATGTATCTTTCAACTTGTTTCCCTTCACTTTATGATGTGTGTTTACAGTAGGTGTCCCCAAGTCATGTTTTGTCCTCTCTGTTATTATCTCCTTGGGTATATTCTCCTGCCCTCTAGTACACGGTGTCGTAAAACTTTTTTCGACATCGGGTCAATCGGGCGGGTTCGAGAGCGCCAAGTGCCATTGAAGCCTCAAGAGCGATAGGTGACATTGAAGCCTCGAGAGCGCCAAGTGCCAATGAAACCTCGAGAGCGCCAGGTGTCCATTGAAGCCTTGAGAGCGCCAAGTGCCACTAAAACCTCGAGAGAGCCAGGTGCCATTGAAGCCTCGAGAGCGCCAGGTGCCATTGAAGCCTCGAGAGCGCCAGGTGCCTCTGAAGCTTCGAGAGCGCCAGATACCACTGAAGCCTCGAGAGCGCCAGGTACTACGGAAGCCTCGAGAGAACCAAGTGCCACTGAAGCCCCAACACTCACCCAAAGGTGATGATGGTCCCACGCTAGTGATCAACCCTGTCTACCAACTTCGCCTTGGAGAATATACGCTCGCTTAGGTTAGGTTATGTTATGTTATATGTTATGTTATGTTATGAGATAAATGACTTTCAGATCTTTCCCCAAATTACTATCTCTTGTCTTCAAGGATCTCCAAATCATTGTCTTGTTGCTTCAGTCTTTTCTATACCAATCATTATCATATTTTCCCCATCCAAAATCTCTCTCTTTTTTCCCCATCCAAAATCTTTCTCTTTTTTCCCCATCCAAAATCTCTCTCTCTCTCTCTCTCTCTCTCTCTCTCTCTCTCTCTCTCTCTCTTTTTACCCAACCTACCCAGAATTTAACTAAGGTATACTGTATGTATAATGTAACGTTTTTGCTTGTATTTTGCACGGTATTATCATTATTATTAAGTCGTAAAATTCATGTAAGAGAACAGTTGTTGTGACAGTGTGTTCAACCGCTCCCCACAACCCATGCAGCAGAAAGGTCCCTCGGCTTCACCATCATTCATATCATCTGGTGTGTTGTTGCGACAGGGAGTGAATTCGTCAAACCGCTTCCGCCTCTTCCTCAACTACAATATCCCACTGACAGTCATCTGAGCACCGAGGAGAAGGCGACGTTAGTTTGCTAAATTACGGTTCATTTTCGTTATTATTGGTAAGACTTTCTCGGAGTATATCTATCTCTGTGCTCTGAGGTAATTTTTATATTGCTAGTAGTTACTCGAAGTAGGATTGTAAAGATCTACTAGAAATATATTAGTGGCTATTGATACTTTTACAATCAAAACAGTATCAAAGGAGATTAAAAGACCATTAACTGTAACAATATAACCCCATGCACAAACACGCAAACTAGCCTACACATGCACAAATAGACATAGATATAAACATACACACATCTCCAGCCTTTTGCAATATTAGAAGACGTGCGCCACCACAAGAAGTTAAAAGAGTAAACAATGTGACCGTGTTGACTGCAGGGATAAACTTACTGGTGATATTAAAAACTGGCATGAAAAAAAAAATACTGGAGGCTGTTACTGTATTATGTTGCCTAAATTAAAGTTGGAAGAATACTACTACAGATTAACCCGAGGCAGTCAACAGTTTCCACAGCCTTCGCCCTCAGAACTCGTCACCCAACATAGTGAAACAATAATAACAATTATTATCTGGGAAGACTGTATTAAACTTTTGACATAATAATAATAATAATAATAATAATAATAATAATAATAATAATAATAATAATAATAATAATAATAATAATAATAATAATAATAATAAAGTAAAATACGAGGCAAATATTTAGAAGTTGCCATCACCTACTTATATATTGAGACATATCGATTTTTTTCGGCTATTTTAACCAATAAAACTACCAACAATATTACTAGTTCAAAGTGGGCAGGGGTTTGAAGTAGAGGGAAAATGTGGGATAAAATACTATACAAAAATCACTAAACAAACTTCTGAAAACCTGACCTAACTTTTCCTAAACTTTAAAAATCCTAAAAAGTATAACAAGTTTACTTTATTCATGTTTTCGGTGTTTAGTATGTGATGGTGTTTTAGGGTTTCAGTGTGTGATATTTTCGGTGCTCAGGGTAGTCAGGGAAGGTTATCAAAGGTTTGTTTGGTGTTCTTTTTAAGTGTTTTACCCCACATTTTCCCTCTACTTCAAAGCCCTGCCCACTTTGAACTAGTAATATTGTTGGTAGTTTTATCGGTTAAAATAGTCGAATACCAGTAATATAAATTTCTGACGGAAACGTTATTTAATAATTTACTCACCATAGAAAATTGTCATGGGCGTCCTTGGTAGTATAGTACTTGACTTCTCAAAACAGGTAATTTGATTTTTTTCCGTATTATGAAAACTAAAAAGATTCCACTTGGTAACTATGCTTTACTGTAACCTCAAACAACACAAGGTATCAGCATGCTAACTTGAAAACCACTGCCCTCATACAACACAATCCTTGAGACGCGTCAAGTTCCCGGATGTAATAATTTTATATAAAATATATTTTGGACTAGATATAAACTATTATATCAACTTTGGAATTTTTACTCTCCATTATAGTGTCTTTATACTATTTCTTATCGGTATAGTAATTTTAAAAGATAAAATAACAAATGAAATGACCAACCTGATGAAATTCCATGTAAAGCAATTTTTTGTAACTGATCTATGCATGAATGTTGTATTATGAGGAAGAATCTGCACGTTTCAAATTCTTTATAGTACTGATAATATTTTTAGCCGCCAGACAAATTTTTATATCTGTTTTGGAGTCTTATTGTAATTTGATTAGTTACTTCCAACCTCACGTAAAACCCAAATAGAAATTACCCGGTAGTAATTTTTTATATCGATATCTATCTATGACTGTTTGTTTGTATCTATCTTTGTCTATCTATCTATCCAAGTTAGATTAATAGAATCGACTTTCTTACCTATAGATATAAAATTCCAAAGACAAGTAAAGTGATCTAACTTTGACTTAGTATGTCACCCATCAAAGAAAACGATGAGATAGAGAAAACGCCAAAGAAGACAATGGCATCTGAGGCACACACTTTGATATAATTAAAGTCGGTAACTCCTCCTCCTCCTCCTCCTCCTCCTCCTCTCCTCCTCCTCCTCCTCCTCCTCCTCCTCCTCCTCCTCCTCCTCCTCCTCCAGGAGTCAGGGTACATGTCCGTTGGAAAAAAATATATGTATAAAAGTGAGGCGGAATTTAGATATTCTCAAAGGCTATTAGAGGTATATTTATTATATTACTCGACAGTTAATTTAGCTACAATGCTTACGGTCTCCTTAGGGATGAAATGCTTGTTTGTGGTACTGCCTGCGCACTTGTGGTCACTTTTTCTCCACAAGCCTTCACCAACGAGTTTCATTTACAGCTATTCCGCTGATTCCTCAACCATTCCAAATGTCAGATGGCTAAATAGTAAAAACTGTTTTCGCATTCTAGTGTTCCAAGTATCAATATCATTAATCTTAAGAGTACACTGTAGAATATTTATATATTTTTTAAAGATTTTTATAAGTCGTGTTTCTTAGAAATTATTTTATGTTCTGTGTTTTTATGTTTAATTTTGATCCTGAATACCATGCAACACCTTAACGTCACATATGGTAGGTTGTGATTGGTCGATTCTGTAGCTTTCTGACGAATAGCTGGGAAAATCAATTCAACCAGAACCACCATTACTACTACCACCACCACGCCCACCACCACCACCACCACCACTACTACGAACACCACGCCTAGTGGTCATGGCGCACTGCAACATTGCTTAAGTGACAGTCATCTGGAACGTACAAGATGACAATTACTGAACATCTGATTGCTATCCATTTTCTTGCGCCACATTGTCAAGTTAGACAAATTCCTCTTTCATGTATTTAAAGAACTAGATGCGGTGAGAGGTAGTTTAACTGATTAAGCAGGCCAGTCAGTCAGTCTACTGTTAGCTATGACTGAATTGTGTGGTTCAGGAGTTAATTCTGACAGTTAATGAAGGTTATATTACACACACACACACACACACATTGAGCTATATGTTATCACAAAGCCTTCCTCACAACATCCCACAGTTTCCTCTATTCCATGCCATAATGACATCACACTTCACCACTACACACCCGCACCATTAAACCACCGTTGCTACATAACCACACCGCCACCATCACACATCCACACCACCACTACACTACACAACCACTTCACAACCACACCACTGCTGCACAGCCACACCACCACTACACAACCACACCATTCAGCACCACCGCTACACAACCAAACCACCACCACCACCACAACCACACCACCACCACACAATCACACCACTACACTACACAACCACTTCACAACCACACCACTGCTGCACAGCCACACCACCACTACACAACCACACCATTCAGCACCACCGCTACACAACCAAACCACCACCACCACCACAACCACACCACCACCACACAATCACACCACCACTACACAACCACACCACCACCACACCCACCACAACTATCCATGAGAGCACACCAATCATAATGCACTGTACTACATATCTCAACATAAGCAAAAATCCGGGTCTAACAAGCAGCAAATTATCATGGACAAGTGGTGGGTGGCGGGCGGGGCTCCACTTACTCACACGCGCTCCTACTTACTGGCTGCGGGAGACACAACCATACTTCAATGATGGTGGTGTTCTGGTAATGGCGCCCTCATGGTATTGGTATAGTTATGGTACCATGTTTAGTTGTTGTTTAGTTTATGTAGTTGGGAATTTATAAAGATCAATATAGTTGTTCTGTATATGCCGATTTTACCGAATATCTGTCTGTCTGTCTGTCTATCTATCTGACTGACAGAGAGAAGAGCAAAATCATGACGGAATGACAAATAAACAGAGACAGACAGACAAAGGAGACGCACTGATAGGTAAAAGACTTTCAATGGCCAAATGTCATCCTCCTCCACCTCCACCATCAACTCAACACCTGTCAGCGGGTCATTATGGCGACGCTTCAGGTAAGTGTGTTGCGTTGGTCCACCGACGTGTTCAGGTGAGTCGTATACCTGGACACCACTAACAATCCCTTCCCTGATACGTTATATTTTTTTCTTGTTTAAAATTACATTCCAAATATATTACTTTTTTATTATTTTTCCACACAAATTACTTTTCCTTGTTTTGTCTCATCGTCTAAAATTACTTTCCTCTTACGCCTGTATTTACTTCCCGTCTAACTTGTCTTAGTTTGTTTTTCTTCCGTCGTCCAGAATTACTTTCCACGTAATCCCTCCAAGATTTACTTTCCGCCCAAATTACTCTTTAAAATGACTTTCCACGCATATGTTGATACAGTGTTGGCAGATGTTTGTATATTAAGAAATTTCAGTTAATAATATACATAATTCATTCCCCAGGTGAGATTCTACAGGTAAGAACCAATTAATGAAGGTGTTACGCCACGTCTACAAAAAAATAAAAAAATACATCTTTACATATTTCACGTAGGACAAAAAAAACCAGGATATTAATTTGAGAAAAACACAAAAGTTTCCCTCCAAAAAAGAAAATGAAAGTTTGTGAATAAAAAATAAATAAAAAAATACAAGTACAACCATATTGCTTTCTCGTCGAACTTGAGGGAGTTTCTCTAAACGAGCCAACTGGTGTTGCTTGAGACGACGGCTGCTGCTGACCACAACTTGGCCTGGAGGGAGAGATACCTATCCACCTGCCTGCAGTCACGGTCATACCTCACTCCCTGCCTCCGTCTATCCAACTGATGTCCCCCATCTCCCTCCACCCGCTGCCCTCTACCTGCTTCCATCCCTCCCTCCCTCTACCTGCTTCCCTCCACCTCCCTCCCTCTACCTGCCGCCTGCTACACCTCAATTCATTAACATCTATTTTTACACACAAGAACAATACGTATTCTGTCATTTATAAAAGAAAGAGGAGGAGCATTGTTCGTCGGAGCTGTGTTAAACTTCCAACATCTGCTACACACACACACACACACACACACACACACACACACACAACAAATTTACTACGATCCAATTAATACGAGTTTGTTGATGAAGCACAAAAAAAACCTTGACAAAAAACATGCTGGTGCTTCTTCAGGTACCTGACGCAGAGATTAAGTCACACATACCTGTTCTCCTGCAGACTCTCTAATCTCTCAAGATAATCTCCAGTCTTAATCAATCCCAACTTAAACCATTATAACTGGAGCCAGAATGCCTAATTTAATCCCAATTTAACCCATTTATAACTAGAGCTAGAACGCCCAATTTATGGTACTGTACCTGTGTGTAATTGGAACCCATTTGTCTAGTCTTCATGTGAAATAAGTTAGGGTGTTTAATCTTCAAGTGAACGTCGATATCTCAGATGACAACATAACTAGCAGGTATAGAGGAGGTGTACAAGCATGAGGTAGTGTAGTAACGCTCTCACGGGAGCTCCACACGTTTCTACACTCAACACGGAAGTTGGGAAAATAGTCACGGGGAAAAAATCACAGGAAAGAAGTCCCGGAAAAAGTAGCAAGAAAAAAGTCACGAGGAATAATGTCACACGAAAAGGTTATGGGAAAAAGTTACGGGAAGTAAAGTGACAGGAATAAAGTCAGGAAAACGTCACAAGAATCAAGTTACGGGAAAAAAATATACGAGAAAGAAGGCACAGGAGTAAAGTCACTAGGAAAAATCACGGGAAAAAAGTCACAGGAAAAAGTTATGGGAGTAAAGTCATAGGAATAAATTTATGGGGAAAAAGTCACTAGAAAAAGACACGAAAAAAAAAATCACGAGAAATTAACTGAAATTAATCATAGTAAAAGACACAGGGACCAAAAAATTATAAATATCACGTATAAAAATAATATAACTACGTGAAATGTGAAGTTATGAGCAAAAAATATTCATACAGTAAGTTGCCTGAGACACTGAAGGTAAGATTAGAATCACTCCACGAGATACTGTAGGGGGTGAGAGAGGTGCAGATGACACACGTGGAGAACACATTAGCGGTTAATATATAAACCATCAGATAAATATGAACTGTTTTCTGCTTATGTGTTGAATTTTGATTTGAATTTTGCCGGGAACAGCAGCTAGTTTATTGTACACCCCATATTTATTTTATGTGCCGTAGCGCCCACCAAAAATGATTACAGAGCAGAGGTTACAAAGGGTGTTTATCAGACTCCAATGGTCAGGAGTCAGTGTTACAGAGAATTTACAGTACATTGATTGTTTAGTTCTATACATAGAAGTTTGCTTAACTACTAGATGTAAAATGTGGATACAACTTTAGCATATCAGCTATTTTGCAACCAGAGATTAAGTGCTATGCCAGTACATACACAGTATGCTTGGATCTCTCCGTAAAAGTTTATATTTTGTCAAAGTCTAAGATGTAGTGTTGGAGTGTGTGACCATATGTCTGGCCACATACTTTACATTTAGTTTTGTTCACATCTGCCTGAGAGGCATACTGCCAGAGGTACTTATATCCTAATCTAGTTATCGTGTTACTTGCTCCATATACATGTTTTACTTGATATATGTCATCCTGGTAAACAATGATTTGACTAGTACCTATTTGCACTTATCTACTGGCTTCATATTCATCAACAAGTTCTTTCCCGATTACAGTTTTTAAGGTTCTATCTGACAGTCCTAGATTGCATTCAATAGTGTCTTTGTTGGACGAAAATTTAGCTAAGGCATCAACTCAATAAAGTTCACTAATGCCTATGTGTGAGGGGATCCACAGCAGCTTAATCCTGGCACCCCGGCCAACAAGGGACGGACAAAGAGTCGGTGATCATGATACTGTCAGTGGCAGAGTCTTCAACAAGTTTTAGGGCTGTGAGTATGGCAAATAGTTCAGTTTGTAGAGTGGATGCCCAGTTATTAATTAGCTGTGTGTGTGTGTGTGTGTGTGTGTGTGTGCGTGTGTGTGTGAGGTAAATTGGGCAAGGAATGCGGAGGAGGATGTGGGTGATGCGCAGGGGAGGGTGTGGGTGAGGTGCGGGGGAGGATGTGGGTGACGAAGCAGCATCAAGAAGGACGCTCTGGGTGTCTTCACTACCACGTGCATCTCTCGTCTCATGTCACCCTGGTGAGTTTTCACGCACACACTCACGAATTCCTTCATCGTCATCACGAACTTCCCTGTTATCATCACGCTTTTCGTAATGTGGGTGTGGTAAGTGCGTCATCGAGGGCGTGGCGAGTGAGTCGTGGATGTGGCAGAGGAGGAATATATAGTGTGTGGGGGACCTGTGACCAGCACCACTCACGCCCTCACACCCACTCAATAAGCATCATCATGGTCGCCCGTCTCTGCTTTTTCGTGAGTGTCTGAGAGGTTCTGTTCACCTCACCTACAGTACAGCTGCTTCTCACCCTCTACACTTTGCTGAGTGTGTCTAGTAATCAACCAATCATCACTCTCCTGACAGACTCCTCACACACCTCCATCACCACATATAACACAAACATTTCTACTGAAGGCCTTCTGGTCCACATAGCGCCTTGCTCTGTAACGGGTGTATATTGTAGCGTAAGTCTAACATTTCCATTTCGTATCGACACACACACACAATCCCTCCAAATTAGCAGTGAACTCACTTTGTAACAACCACTTTATCATCAAGATCCCTTCAAAGCTAAAACAAAACAACTTCATTATTAATAGTGAGTTACGTAACGTTTTTTTTTTCAACAAAACCCAGGGAGTCTGTTTACCTCAAATATATAGATATATATCTCTCCAGGTATTGGTGGTCGTGGTTGCCAAGACTACCGCCGAGCAGCGCGCCTCTTACGGTAACTCAGGAGGCAACAACGCCGAGATACTGAAGGACGAGAGGACGCAGGACGGCTACGGCACGTACTCCTTCCAGTACGAGACCAGCGACGGCGTCACCCGGCACGAGTACGGCAGCCAGGATGATGGTCAGGTGACCAACGGCGGCTGGAGGTGAGTACATTAGGTGTAGGCTGGAGGTGAAATACATTAAGTGTACAGTGTAGTCTGTAGGTGGAGTACATTATGTGTACACTGTAGGCTGGAGATGAGTACATTATGTGCACACTATAGACAGGGAGTACATTGTTACCCTCACTATCTCTTACCTAAATGTCTGTTGATGGTCGTCCACAGATACACGTCCCCTGAGGGTCAGGTTGTGGACATCACCTTCGTGGCCGACCACGGGGGCTACCAGCCCACGGGGGACGTCCTCCCCGTAGCCCCGGCCCTTCCCTACCAGCGGTCACAGCCGTACCACTGAGGCAGCTGTCCCTCCCGGGTTAAGGTGGCCCACCAGCTGCACCTTGTTGTTCCTTCTGCTTGTCTGTCAGGCGGCCGTCCTCAGGAACACCTGGCAGAAGATGCAGAAGACCTCGTCATTACCAGCGACCATTCCTCTCCTTATATTTGTCTACTGATGTTATCACTGTGATGCTTCTCGTCTGCAGGTGTCTATCGCAAACAAATTATCTCTTAGAAACGATCTCCACTGTAGTGAACAATAGCAGTGAAGAACAGACACACCCATGACGCCACAGTCACCTTAATAACCCCTATAATTGGTAATGTTAACTGTGTATTGTTACTCACTCTGTTATGTTATTTGTGTTCTGTTACTCGTTGTTTGGTTATAAATTTTTTGTTTTTTCGTGTTTGCTGTGGTGGATTGTGGTGACATTTATATATTTCTGTTTTTGTTCACACGTCATCGTTCTTGTCAGTGTTTCTTCAGTCATTCAAATGTATTAACACCTTTCTTAATTTCTTGTAGCTGGAGTGTTGAGTGAAAATATAATAAAGAAAAATATAACGATACATAATGGTTATTTTATTGTTTACATTTACGTCAGTCCCAGGAACAACCTGCCACCCTCAATTATTGCTACACTGCCATCGTCTCCTCCCCTTCCACGCCACAGTACATTACGATCACTCCAGTTCCCCTACACAGCAAGATATTGTAGACCCAACGTAATTTTTCTTAACAAAATCAAAACACACACGGGATAAATTCTAATGTAATAATATCAAACGTAAAAGTTAATTTTTCCAAGGAACGAACTTTCAAACACGGAAGTGGCCTCTTTCTGATCAGTTACCCTCTAATTTTATACTAAGCCAGACTAAAAAACAATAAATCACTGGTCCTATCGTTTAATTTACAGTAATATCAATAGGCCTAATATAGCCGTCATCTTGCCTAACTGTATTAGACCTTTAGCCTATAGACTAGACATATTATCATTTTCATAAACAAAGGCTATCCCATGACAAACATTATTAGGCGTACCTGTCTTTGTCTTATGGTAAAAAAAATCGCACTCCCTCCGCATCTGGAGTCATGTGGCTGTCTACATACACGACCACAGTGATGACATCCCAAGCTGCTTTCTTCATCAGTTTCGTGAGAGTTGATATAGGGTTTTCCAAAGATCACACCTAAGATCAGTTACTACCACGAAAATCTCATCACTGGAGAAATTCAGCAGCCTTTTCTTCACACCTTCACCCTCCACATCTTCTCACGTGTGACTGTTTAGATCTCATCAGCTGGGCAACGTGATTGCTTAATATTTCTTCAGAGTGTTTTGTTCCAGGAACGGTGATTGGTCTACTGAAAAATCAAAACAAATACACCAAAACCCTCTCTGGTGTCAGCTTACCGAACTAAACATAACTTGTAGTCGCAGCACAAACTGTTATTAATTGTGAATCATCCATTACCTATAGTTTGTACGGAATCCATATCTTCTGGAGATATGGACAAATTTACAGGTTCACATTCTGAGTCCATCTCTTTTCGAGTCTTCTTACCGATACTACCACTACTGCTACTACTGTTTTTGTTTATAATTTTATTAAAACGTGGCCTCTAGGCTCCCCTAATAGCCACACCTCCATCACCATTTTATTACCTTATTATTAAATATCCCAATACAAAAGTAGCTACCCTAGCTGAGTTGGTTAAGCCGCAGATCTATGCACCCTTCAGTGACTGTTGCCTCATAGTCATTATCTGCGACTGTTGTTGGCTTTGGGGCCGAAGATCTCGTTCCCTTGAGGCAAAACAATGCAGACCTTAGCAGAGAGGACAGTCGACATCTCAACCTGGCTACAACGTAACTTCTGGGCTGCTGCTTCTGTTCAGATAACAACCTCAGTCAGTCTTGCATAGAGGCATTTTGGACTTGGTCCCATCCTGCTAGAGGGTGTGAACACCAGAGGAGTGAAGCTGCCTTGATCCACATTTTGCATTCTCTTCGGTTACGTCCTGTTCCTGCAGTTCTCGTTCCTCTTGTGTGCAACCTCGAGAGATAGGTTGTGGTGACTTGCGGCTCACTGTCCCCGAGTCCTACTACTACTACTACTATTGCTAACACTACTGGGACCACTACTTTTACTACTTAAAGTTATTGTGCTTAAAGGGTTAAATCATCGTCCTCAATGGTTAAAACATCGTCATCATACAGTTAAACCATCATCATCAAAGGGTTAAACCATCGTCAACAAAGGGTTCAACCATCATCATCAAAAGGTTAAACCATCATCCTCAATGGTTAAAACATCGGCATCACACTGTTAAGCCATCGTCATCGAAGGGTTAAACCATCGTCATCAAAGGGTTAAACCATCGTCATCAAAGGGTTAAACCATTGTCATCAAAGGGTTAAACCATCGTTATCAAAGGGTTAAACCATTGTCATCAAAGGGTTAAACCATTTTAATATTAAGTAGAGCCTCATATCGACTCAAAATAAAGTAAGATAAGGATAAAGATAACGTCTTATGTTTTTCCTACACGTAAATTAGTCTACAAACAACCAGGTACGTAAACACAAACAAGGTGAATATTGTTTTTTATAATTTCTTTATTTTTTACCTGTTATCAGACTATTACACTCAAGAGACCATACATATAGTCTTTTACAAGCTAAGACCTCAACAACGACGGGTAAAGCACAGTAAAGAAAAATATCAAGAGAAATATATAGTCACTAAATACACGGAAACGTACGTAAAGGATAAAAGTGAACGAAAAGTAATGATATACGAAACGGGTGGATGTATAAAGCCGATAATCTTATTTAATGTTTACATCCAAAAGTCGCGCCTGACAAATCCAGAATCCGACTTTATGAATTTCGTTCTTTATTATAATCCGTATATATACTGTGATTCATATCGAGCAGGGAATGATGATGTGAAGTTCAGTCAGGCTCTGAGGTCTAATGGTTCCTCAACATGACAGTGTGTAAGTATGACAGTGACTGATGCTAGACTTACACGAAATTTACATGACAGAAAAAATAATCTACCATAAAGACTTAGCATAAGGAAAAACAGGAAAAAGTTTAACACGAAACATAAGGTGAAGTGCTATATTACTTAGCTACATGTTTAGGAACAATTTCTAAACAAAGAATATGGAAGACGCAGCTCAAGAAAAATAGAAATAAACCCACACGCCACCAACTTCCTGCACAGTGTTTCAGATATAAGATATGTGACGTCTTCTGCATCTTCAGCCAGGTGTTCCTGAGGACGGCCGCCTGGCAGACAAGCAGAAGGAACAAGGTGCAGCTGGTGGGCCACCTCAACCCGGGAGGGACAGCTGCCTCAGTGGTACGGCTGTGACCGCTGGTAGGGAAGGGCCGGGGCTACGGGGAGGACGTCCCCCGTGGGCTGGTAGCCCCCGTGGTCGGCCACGAAGGTGATGTCCACAACCTGACCCTCAGGGGACGTGTATCTGTGGACGACCATCAACAGACATTTAGGTAAGAGATAGTGAGGGTAACAATGTACTCCCTGTCTATAGTGTACACATAATGTACTCATCTCCAGCCTACAGTGTACACATAATGTACTTCACCTACAGACTACACTGTACACTTAATGTATTTCACCTCCAGCCTACACCTAATGTACTCACCTCCAGCCGCCGTTGGTCACCTGACCATCATCCTGGCTGCCGTACTCGTGCCGGGTGACGCCGTCGCTGGTCTCGTACTGGAAGGAGTACGTGCCGTAGCCGTCCTGCGTCCTCTCGTCCTTCAGTATCTCGGCGTTGTTGCCTCCTGAGTTACCGTAAGAGGCGCGCTGCTCGGCGGTAGTCATGGCAACCACGACCACCAATACCTGGAGAGATAGAGAGACGGAGGAGTAGTAGACGTCACTGTCGAAGCAGTTGTACTTAATATTTGTCAGTTAAGGTTCAGTATAGTACTAAATCAATACTCACGACGAGACAGCTTAGAGGGGACATGTTGGCTGTGGTGTGGGTGAGGGCGGGAGTGATGCTGACCACTGTCGCCCCACACACTATATACTGTACCTCCCTCACACACACACCCGCCAGTCACACCCAGTCCTCGCGTGCAGTGGTGATGATGACTGTGTTTTGCGTGTGTCAAAGCTGAGTAGCGTGTTAGTCACTTTCTCAGGGTTGGTGCAATGGTGGAGGGCGTGTCTCCTGTGACACTCTTCCGGGCGGTCTACTCTCACCTGTCTGCCCCTAAACTTTTGGAGAAGACGATGGTTTAACTCTCCGAGGATGATGTTTTATATCTTTGAAGACGATGGTTTAACTCTCCGAGGATGATGTTTTAACTCTTTGAAGACGATGATTTAACTCTCCGAAGATGATGTTTTAACTCTTTGAAGACGATGGTTTAACCCTTTCAGAACAATAAACCAAGAGTTAACCCATCGTCTACAAAGAGTTAACACAAGGTAGACATGAAGGCAAAAGACTGTGTGTAAACTATAAGGTACATTTCTCATTGATGAAGCCGTGACGAGAGCATCATTACTGTTTATTCTCAATTATTTATTTACATTAGTCTTACAGTTTTCTATCCATCTATCACCAACTGTCTTGGGAATAATAGACACATCTACCAGTGAACTACAATCTATCACCAGCCGACAACACAATGCAACACACCGCAACATAAGACAACACAAAACAACGCAACACAACACAATGCAACACAACATAATGCAACACAACCCAACACAACGCAACACAACATCAAATAAAACGTACTTAATACTGTAGAGTGAAAAATAACACGAAAAAAAATACACAACTTCGCGCCATCATTTCATTCTCAATTAAACCTGGAGTGAATCATACCACCTCAGGCGTCATCTTCTCTATTCACTGCTTCGTTAGTGAGACGTCAGAGATATAGTGAAACCTCTATTTAGCGGATTATATGGAGAGAAAGTCCGCTATATCGAAGGTTTGTTAGATGTGAGAAAACTCCATCTAACAAACTATATAGAGAAGAAAGTCCGTTACATCAAGAGTCCGTTAGATGTGAAACCCTCCATCTAACTAACCATATCGACATAAAAGTCCGTTGTATCGAGAAGTCCGTTATATATATAGACTTAACTGTACATTTCCCCAGTTACTTATCCTGTTATTAATGTATCTCTAATGTTTACGGTGGGGGGGGGGCAATTAGGGGACGGAAGGAGGGGGTGGTTGAGGTGAGGTGAAGGAGGAGGAGAAAAAGGGAGGTGAGGAGGAGGAGAAAAAGGGAGGTGAGGAGGAAGGGGAAAGAGGAGGTGAGGAGGAGGAGTAAATGGGAGGTGAGTAGGAGAAGGTGCAAGCAAGGAGGAAGAAGAGAAGGAGATGGAAGAAGAGTGAGAAGGGCAAGAAGGAGTTGATGAGGAGGAAAGGAGAAGAATGTGGCAAGGTAGAGGACGGGTGTAAGTCTCTTAGAGTCTTGAAACGTATACAGGTAAGGCGAGGTAGAATGGAGAGACAGTAAACAACACAGACAATAATTAGTTTGCATTGATCTATTTGTCCAGTGAGAATTTGTCCAGCAGGTATTTGTCCAGTGAGAATTTGTCCAGTGAGAATTTGTCCAGCAGGTCTTTGTCCAGTTAGAATTTGTCTAGTGTCTGATGGAGCGTGTACAGTAGACTATCCAAACACACACACACACACACACATCCTTGACCACCGAAGGGTCAAGACGTACCTGGCGCTCCTCTCAGAGCAGCCAGGTCAACTGTTATGTTGGCCCATACCAACTCCCTCCCCTGAACCCTCCTCCCCACCGGAATATCAACATGTTCTCGCCAGAAGTTACTATTTCATTTAGGAAAGGAATGGAACCAGTGTTAAACAGAGGTGAACAGTGGTGAACAGTGCTTAAGTCAGTGAGAACAACTCAACAGTAACAGTGGTACCCAAGTTGACCTTCACACAGTGAGGTCCCAGGTACCCAGTGATAACGGCCCGTGAGACCCAACAACCAGCGATGTGTTAATCCGTCTACGATAGGAAGGCCTGGAACCACACCTCACTCATATAACACCATCTGTGAGGGAATTACTACACCACGTGAGGCCCCTCATAACACCATATGTGAAGGAGTTACTACACCACGTGAGGCCCCTCATAACACCATCTGTGAGGGAATTACTACACCACGTGAGGCCCCTCATAACACCATCTGTGAGGGAATTACTACACCACGTGAGGCCCCTCATAACACCATCTGTGGGAATTACTACACCACGTGAGGCCCCTCATAACACCATCTGTGAGGGAATTACTACACCACGTGAGACCCTCATAACACCATCTGTGAGGGAATTACTACACCACGTGGGGCCACCATCTGTGAGGGTACTACACGTGAGGCCCTCATAACACCATCTGTGAGGGAATTACTATACCACGTGAGGCCCCTCATAACACCATCTGTGAGGGAATTACTACACCACGTGAGGCCCCTCATAACACCATCTGTGAGGGAACTACTACACCACGTGAGGTCCCTCCTAACACCATCTGGGAGGGAGTTACTACACTACGTTTTTGCTGTTCAACACCTACATTAATCTGTATGTTCACTTTACCTTTCTCTAACGAAGGCTTTTGTTAAACCACCAATGTATGTAATAAGTCATTTATGTCCAATGTATATTTTCAGCCTTCGGGCTGCAGAACTTTTTCAATAAACCGTCAATTATTATTATTATTATTATTATTACACACAGACGATAGGGAAAACCTCACCATTTTTCGCCAACAGGGAAACACAAACACAACAGATTGATAAATATTTAGTGTACATATTACAAAGTGTGATTACAGCAATACAAATTCTACCATACAATACAAAGTGTGGTTACAGCATTGAGACAAATATATAATACAGTCAAAAGTGTGGTTACAGCAATAGAAAATATATTGTTTTTTTCCTATGTTATGCCACCTCCATCAGTTCAGATCATCCTGTTTCATACATCTTCAGGGTTTTTGGTCAGGGGACGAGGATTCTGTGTTGAAGATCAGGGGGAAGACGCTTGTGTGACCTACGGGTAAACTAAAGCCGTGTAGTGTAGTGTACGGTAAAGTTAAAGTCAACCTAACCTAACTAATTTTAAATCTAACCAAACCTAATCTAATCTAACCCAAGTTATTCTCTCCTAAATAAACCTAATCTAACAAATTTTAAGCCTAACTTATCCTAATCTGACCAAACCCCATTTAACTTTATCAAATCCTAGTAAGAAGAACCAATCAGAGACCATCCTGCCCGCATCTGAGTGGATTTCGCTTTCCTGGGAACAAATTAACTAAGAGACACTGAGAGAACCGAGAGATAACCCCAGGAAGGTGAGAGAGTGACCTGAGGAAGTATCTCTCACACCTACCTGCGTTAGCTAGCTCTATGAAGACCAATACTGACTGAATGGCTGGCTGACTGACTGACTAACTGATTCACTGATGAGTCAACAAGAGTGTGGGTCAACAAAAGCGTGGGTGAACAGGATTGTGAATCAACAGAAGTATGGGTGAACAGGGGTGTGGGTTAACAGAAGTGTGGATGAACATAAGTATAGGTCAACAGAAGTGTGGGTTAACAGAAGTATGTGGGTTAATTAACAAGAAGATGGGTTCCTCCTGGCCTTAGTTGCCTGACCGTTGGTAAGGGAGGGCCGGGGCTATGGGCAGGACGTCCCCACGAGGCTGGTAGCCACCGTGGTCAGCCAGGAAGGTGATGTCCACGTGCTGACCCTCAGGGGACGTGTACCTGAGGGTCACAATTTCGTCAGCAAACATATAACTCAGATGTGATACAGAGGGTAATAATATACTCAACTATGCACATATTATGTACTTATTTAGTCTGAAGTGTATGCATCATGTACTCACCTCCAGCCTCCCTGAGACACTTGGCCGTCGTTCTGACTTCCAGACTCCTGCCGGGCGGTGCCGTCGCTGGTCTCGTACTGGAAGGAGTACTCCCCGTAGCCGTTGCGCGTCCTCTTGTCCTGGAGGATGGTGGCTGTGTTGGGAGGCGGGCCGTAGGAGGCGCGCTGGTCGGCGGTGATCATGATGACTACAAAAGCCAACACCTGAGATAGCCATGAGGACGACTATCAGTATTTGGCTTCTATGTCACATTTACTGACCAGCGGCCTCAGTATTTATTTATACAAGAAAAATTATCTTTGAATTATATACAAAACTATCTTCAGAATCAACACACACACACACACACACACACACACACACACACACACACACACACACACACACACAGGAGCTCTGCCCAACACACTCACGGCCACAGTGAGTCCGGTGTTCATGATGTTGGTCGGGTAGTAGGTGTGTGTATGGGCGTGAGGGAGACTACTAACAGGTATGGCCAATCACCCACTATATACCTGGCCCAGGACTCCCCCCTCGTCACACCCATCACACACCCGTCACGCCCACCACACGCTCTGGCACTCCGTTTTTACCCTGTTTGTTGACAAAAGCGCCCAGCGTGGTGTAACCCTCGCGAAGGAAGCGCCGACGCACCTGCTTTTTGTTGAGGACTTTCACTTGGAAACACTCGAGGGTGATCACGTAGTGTACACGCCTCCGATACACCTACCAGGTACAGGTGATGTAAGGTGTAGGTAGCTGCTCTGTGTCTAACGGGAGAGAGGCTTGTAATGTCTGACGAATATCCCCACACACACACACACCTCAGAGGGACACTGTTCACGATGGTTAAGACTCACAGTAAGAGGTGGCTGACCTACACGTCTTGAGAGAGGGAATGCATCTCTATAAGCTGATGTGGAGGACTCTCTTACCCATATCCAATCAGACGCTCGTGTCATATAGTGTCAAAGCTTGCTCGAGCATTTTCAAGACCCTGTTCATGACACGTTTAAGAGAGTTATTCCAAATGAACCCTAAACTTATCTTTCTCCTACAGCGGCCCTGTCTTATGGAACGACTGTCATGGTAGATATAAGATTAACATCATTAGTGTGGAATGAATGAGTGACCTCCCAACCTATCGTCTTTCAAGGTCGTCCCTCCAGTTTGAGTGACGGTGAGTGGCAAAGGACAACCCTGACGAGACAAAACATGAAGGAAAGAACAAGGTCCTATATTACAGTAGGACACAAAATCTTCTCTTACTAGGTGACGAAGACGCAAAACTTACCCCCTGCAAAAAAAAACCAAAAAAAAAAAACCACTCGTATATACTCCAGCCAAGTATAAGCATTTCAGACGGTCCAGGAGGGCAGATCTTCACTACTCTAGCTATTGTATTATTACACCAGGTGACATTAATTACAACCATTTACTTGGATTTTATAATTTTTGACCTCATATCTTTAATCACCATGACCGAAAGTAAGGTACAGGAATATAAAGGCTTGAGTCATATACGTAGATATACATGAATGGTCGTGTGATCAGAGTCTACGCCAGAAAGGAGTTACTTAAGACAGGAATAGGATTGGGTGGTTATCTGTAGTCGATGGCCAGGTGAGGTATCCGACTACCTACCTGTAATTACAACCCCTCTCTCTCTCTCTCTCTCTCTCTCTCTCATCTTTGCGCCAGGGATAACAAAGTTCCCATACGTCATAATATGTAGATCCTGCCACACAACACACTGAGAGACACACTAACACCATACAGTATAACTTTAGAACACCAATAAACATGATTCGCCGTCGCTTATTTACAAACGGGTCATAAACACCAAGCCGAGGTGTTCTCTGATGTGGCTACCTGTGTGGAAAGGGAGGGAGAGGGATGGACGGAGGGAGGGAGAAGGGAGGGAGGGAAGGGAGTAGCACCACACCTAGCTAGCCGTGCCGCGTGACAGAGTGACAGACACGGAGCATCAGCCCTTGACGGAGGAGCGACCACAACCCCACCCTGAGGAACTTGCTATGGCTGGCACCCTATATACCCTTCCTTGCTGCCACCATCACAAAACTCCACTCCTACACCTCTACAACACCATGTACACCTCAACAACACGACCCACACCACCCACACCATCACAACACCTCTACAACACCACCCACACCATCACAACACCTCTACAACACCACCCACACCATCACAACACCTCTACAACACCACCCACACCATCACAACACCTCTACAACACCACCCACACCATCACAACACCTCTACAACACCACCCACACCATCACAACACCTCTACAACACCACCCACACCATCACAACACCTCTACAACACCACCCACACCATCACACCACCACCCACCCTCCTCCTACACCTAATAACGCTCTCTCCACATACTCTCCTCCTCACTCAGACAAGCAGACAAACCTCACGTACGTAATTCAGGAACGATAAGAGGCCGACAGAGATAAACACAAGACCATAATAACAAAAGCTTTCTCTCGGTAATAATACCTGGTCGTCGTTTCTCGTATAATTAAGAGTATAATAATTATCTGTGGCGTATTATCCCTTATTCTTTTTTCCCTTTTACTGGATATATTATACTCGTTTCTATAAGAGGTGTGGAATTATGGTAGAGTCTTAGTGGAATTTCGACGCCATTCAGGTCATCGTATTTATCTTGTAGGTTAAGTAGCTCTCTCTCTCTCTCTCTCTCTCTCACAATCACACACGCGGCGACACTATACCTCTCCTGCACCTCACCGCCACTTTCCTGATGATGAGGGGAAAGTGGCAAACCATACAACCTCACCTGGCCACACATCTTGCTACTGTCACACACACACCATCAGATGGACACACCTTGTTACTGCCACACCTTGCAAATTGAAGCCCCACCCTCAAACATTACACACCCATACCTGATGTCGACACACACACACACACCTCCACGCCATGTCTCCCGAACTCCGTGAAAGTATAAACACAGGTATGTAGTTTCTAGAAACTCAATGAATAGATAAATATAAGGTACTGTAGGTGTTGTAACTGGAGAGAGAGAGAGAGAGAGAGAGAGAGAGAGAGAGAGAGAGAGAGAGAGAGAGAGAGAGAGAGAGAGAGAGAGAGAGAGAGAGATTAATAAATACTCGTTTGCTATGTTATAAGTAGTCATTCCTCCTCTTTCTTCTCTTCCTATTCCTTCTCCCTTTTCTCCTCCCCTTTCTCTTCTTTCTCCCTCACACTCTGTTACGCTCGTGTTGTTTGCATTACTCTACAAATTAAGTTTATTTTATGCGAGCGTCTTGTTACAGTAGATTCGTTAACCTGGGGTTGTGTAGATGCGTTATTTTCAGGGTCAGATTAGCTCTCTCTCTCTCTCTCTCTCTCTCTCTCTCTCTCTCTCTCTCTCTCTCTCTCATACATCTATCTATATATCTATCCCTAAACATACACACATACAGAAAAAACACAGTATTCTCTCTTCTATTCTAGTCTGTCATCCCCACACGGTGACGAAGGCTGGGCAGAGTTCTCACGCTTCCCCAAATTTTCCCACGCTTGGAGACGTTTTCTCATCATTGCCTCTTGCTTGCATCGCGTTTTCCACCGGGGGTATTTGCATCAGACCCCAGAAATTGTGATGTCTAGCTTACATATTCTACAAGGCAAGGTTTTAAATGGGAGGTGATCAGAATATTTATGGGTAGACAGTAGTGTAAGTGTGGTAGACAGTAGTGTAAGTGTGGTAGACAGTAGTGTAAGTGTGGTAGACAGTAGTGTAAGTGTGGTAGACAGTAATGTGAATGTATTAGACAGTAGTGTGACTGTACTGGAATGCAATCTGAATGTAGTAGTAAGTTAAGTGTTATTGACGGCCTCGTGGCGCAATGGTAGCGCGTCTGACTCCAGATCAGAAGGCTGGGTGTTCGAGTCACTCCGGGGTCAAGTAACACTTTTCCTTGACCTCTAATATTGACCCGCGGCCATGACCTGAAACTCCATTCAAATAAAAAAATAAATCTCACGCCTACCCTCTCTCTTCTGAATCCGTCTTACCCCCCTTCCTTTCTCTCCTATAGGTCAAATGTAAGTTTTATTATTAATTATAGTAAATGGATGGTTTCAACGAATTTAAGACATCATTTATATAAACTATGATGATGATGATGATATATACGATTATATTATAGCCTACCTGAGAGAGCGATAAACTAACGATGCCAATTCTATTATATAGTCAATAGTCCTTAAATATGCCTATGTCAATACTTATTGTCTGGGGGTATGTAGAGTACCTCAGTAGTGGCCTAATGTGTGTACCATCACCACTACCGTAACTAGCATCAGTACTACTACCATCACCATTACCATAACTAGCATCATTACTACTACCATCACCACTACCATTCAACATCACTATTGCCATCACCACCATTAACACCACCACCACCCCCTCCACAACTTTGGTCGCAATTTGTACAAACACATGCTACTCTTAGATGGTCATTATGTAAAGCACCAACGATTACCATCTTAGACTTCCGTGCGTGATTCAGTAGTAAGAGCTGTTGCCAGTGTTACGTAAGACGCTTCCAGCTGGTGTGGTGAGAGGATTTTCCAGGAAGCTGTCGAATTACGTGCCCTTACCCTGTCATATGGCCTAGAGACAATGACTTAGAGATATATGATAATGCAAATTAAAATTGGTATCAGATTCGTTCTATATGTCAAGATTAAGGCTGTAGTAACGATTGGATGAGGAAAATTTGTCCTGCCCGGCTGAGAACGTGTGTTGTAATACCCGCCTGGGGGAAGAAGGGAGATGCTACACACCATATGTGAGACAGTATGACACAAGGCCGCCCCCAGCGCTCACGACTTTCACTTTTAACGTCCCATGATAGTGGGCGGGTGACACTGTACATACCAATATTATATATATATATATATATATATATATATTTACATCATGTAGATCCACAATGGAAACGTGTACAAGATTAATCTTGATAAAACCCCACAGGAAAAGGGAAACACTGGAGCACCTTAGCTTTCGTCAGATCAGGTAAAAATCATGGGATCCACTAATCCACACACCACCTCCGCCGCAAACGAATGAAGAGCTTATAAAAAATGGGTGACATACCAACAGGTCAGGTAAAAAACATGAGACCCACTAATCATCTACCCTACATCCACCTGAAATGCTTTTAAAGCATTTTTAACCTTAGGCCACTCACAAATAAATAAATAAAACATATCAGTTTTGTACTGACCATCACTAAAGTTATAGCAATTCGGGCGGTTGGTCTACTGTATACAGTGTTAGTACAGGAGGAAACCGGAATCCGGGAAGCCAGTGATGTTTTCAGAGATGTTTTGGGTGCTCTTTTTCGTAAATTACCACAAATTTTCCCTCTTCTTCAAAGCTCCGCCCAATTTGAATAACCA